GATTAAAGAAGTACAAAATGCAAAGTTTCCATTGACAATCAATCAATTGTCGTGGCGATAGTAAAACTAGTGTATTTTTCTGAAAATGTCCGCCCACAGCAAATTCTCTGGTTTAGACTTTTGTGGATATATATATACGCCCTAAGGATATATATCTCTTACAGAAATCAAGCGTTCGTATCTTTTAATGAACCTTTAATGATAGGACCACGTATTCAACCTCATCACTTTTGGAAGTTTAACATTTTTACTATCTACAAACAGCACAAGTTACAGCTTTGACTTTTTTGTCCATGATGTTGTCAACGGCAGGTTATCATTTTTTTAATTTAAAGATTGATCATTCATATAATACCAGGCAATCTCTATATATGTGTATTGTATATGCAATTTATTAACGCTTTGTTTGAAGAAAACAGAAAGAAATTAGAGGAGGTGCAGGCTGCTAACCAATTACTTGTGGAAGAGAACAGAGTCCTGAAATACAGAGTCTCGGATTTAGAATGTAATCATAACGAATTAGATCAGTATATAAGAAGAGAAAACCTTGTCATTAGTGGTGTGCCACAAACAGAAAGTGAAAATACAGATGCAATAGCTCTGAAAATCGCTCAGATCGCGGACAAAAACATCACCATGTCGGACATAGATGTCTCGCATCGTATCGGAAAACGAAAGCCGTCGGTTGGTCAGCGTTACAATCCCCCCTCTCAAATTATTGTCAGGTTCACAAGTAGAAGAGCTCGCGATGCTGTGTACAAGGCCCGCAAAAACCTGTCAACCGTTAAAACATCGAGTCTCGGTTACGAAGTTACAAATGATATATATATAAATGAGAACTTAACGCCTATTGGGAAAGCTTTATTTACTAAGGTAAACATCAAAAGGAAACAGTGTGGCTGGAAATTTCTATGGACACATTATGGCAAAATTTTAACAAAGAAAGACGAGAATTCACCAGTTGTCTACATTCCAAACGAAGACAGTCTTTGCAAAATATGTTAATGTGACTGTTTGCAGCGTGAAAAGCTGAATTATTCATGGATCCTGACGTAACAGACTCATTGCTATCCAGTAATTACAACTGTGAATCTTATTCAATCGAGCAATTTAACAACAGTGAGTCATTGTCAGTAAATTCCTTTTCTGTCTTACATTTGAATGTTAGATCCATTAGTGCACATTTTGACGACCTTTCAACTCTTTTACACCTTCTGAAAATGAAATTGTCAGTCATTGGTCTCAGTGAGACGTGGTTGCACAGTAATTCTGACACCTCAATTTATAATCTGCCATCTTACAATTTTATTTCAAATTGCCGCACATCTACTTCAGGAGGTGGTGTTGGTCTCTATATACACGAATCATTGCCTTATACTGTTATTGACTCAGTTATTCTAAGTCATTGTGAGTGTTTATT